GCCTCAATTACAGGTCTAGGCAGATAGTTACCAGGTTTCAAGACACATTAGCAAAGTCAGGAACACTCTATATCCCAGTTACGGCGGCACGATAAAGCTAAATAAAAAGAAACTGTGATATGGCAGCAATTAGGCCTGTCATGATAACAACTTTTTGTTGTGCGATATATTGCACCAGAAATAATTGCGATTAACAATATTATTGTCATTTCAAGACCATTTTATGCCACTGAATATATAATCATAATATAAAAGCATAATAATGCAAGAAGGCCAACACACTTTCAAATGACAACAAACTTTTCATTCTTAAGAATACTTAGATCATGGAAATTAAGTATCAAAATATTAGATACCTTAAAAAACTTGAATAAATAGTAAATAATCATCTTCTAAGTAACAAGTAGAAGTATGGAGATTTTTCCATCTACAGATTTTTCCCTGACCTTCTTTTCTCTGTAAATGAAGGGTGCACACTATTGCTGAAAAACACAATCACTACTTAGCAGTCAGATGTCCGTATGCACAAAGGCACAGATCCCTAAACAAAGCCATATCTGTAGATGAAACTTTTTTTGTAGAAGCATTTTTTAAATTTGAACTAGCACCAACTACACCACGTTATGTACGAGAAGCTGCAAAAGATACAGGCGCAAGTGGAATGTACAAAACATGGTGACATTAATTTTTATGTAAATATAATGGGCAATATATTGCGTCACCAAAAATGATTGAGGTCATGTAATATATTGTGCGATAAGTCGATATTTTGAATATTGCGACAGGCCTAGCTGCAATGATCAAATTTAGAAGGCTGTGATTTAATTAAATAAATATATGCACCATGTGTTTTAGAGTGAACATTTATAGGCAAGCAGTGTTTTCAGTGCATGTGCATTTCAAGCATGTTTCAGTGTTTTTTTGCATCGGTTCTGCATTTGGGCCGCTTGTAACATAATTCTCGGAATGCAACATGCGCCAACCAACTTCCCAAACTTATACTAAGAAGTATTTAAAAACCAACAGTTGTCAACAAAAGAGAACTATAAAGGATCCCTGTGGTTTTCAGCCAAAATAAAATCTTGATGGATTCATGTTTAAAAAAAGGAGAAAATAAGACAGCAAAACTACTAGTACTGTAATTTTACAGTTGTATTGTGAAGTAATTTCTTTTTCTTAAATACTTGATTGTTTTATTTTACAGTAAAATAGGGTGCTATGTATAACGGTAAAATAAATTTGTTGCGATGGACTATCATCTCTTTTGCAGTTATGCTCGTGTGACATTTCTGTGCAGAGTCGTCATAAAAGCTTGTAAATTAATTTACGTTTCGAAGCGCTGCAGTTTAAAAACAAGTGATATTAAATAGTTTGCGAGCAATTATCAGCAAAAACGTTGGTTTATGTGCGCACTGTCTGAGAGAGACGGTTTGAGCACACTCCCGTAAAACGTGCACACATAAAGCATTGTCATTTCGATATTTAATCAAAATTTAGCATTTTAAGCAGAGATCAAAATTTTAGTTGCATCTGTTTTAAACTGAAGACTTTACCTACTCTTGTTCCCCATTTACCCTTCGGCACTCGAGCGGTGACTCCAGAGAGGAGATGAATGAAGATCTCTACTTGAAGAAGGGCAGCACAAAATAACTATTTGTTTCTTTCTGGAGACAGCAGAGCTGGCACAACCTACAACTAAAAAAAATAGTTCCACAAATCTCACCTTATACTGGACTGGACTCTTTTCTGCAAGTGAGGCTATCAAAAAGACAGTTTGCCAATTCCTCACAGCTCAGATATGATGACTCCGCTCTGTCCTTTGAACACCTGATCCCTGAAACTATAACCGACTCATGTAGCCATTTCATATAGCACTTAGCTAATGTAAAGCCCATACCGCAGCCAATTTGTTACTGGTCCAGGTGTCTGCCGTTCACAAGTGAGCATGCATACTCAAAATTGGGTGCTAGCTGATATTTTAGTGACAATCCGAAAGGATGAAAAAATAACTATTCATAACATTTCTTGATATAAAAGTCTTTCACTACAACATCAGACTTATTTCAACTGAATGGTTTTGCACTTTATGGACCCTTTTCACATTTCCATGACGAAACGTGCAAGTCAACAATAGCAGGCTAAATTTCATAAAATGTACAAGGGAGATTATAGCAGATATTATTATTCTCATTTCCTTCAATAGCCAAAGAAAAAAGAAATCCACTATTGCATTTCCTAGACTTTCCAAAAAAGGAAAAGAAAAAAATTAACGAAATTTTTAAAGTGCTATATTATTTCACCATGTTAATTTTTGTGGAAATGCATCATCAACAGTCTGTGAAAAGCAACTAAAACCATTAAAAATCATTTTGGTCACCGAAATAAAATAAATGATAAATATATAAAAAATTCATATAAAAATGAAAAATGTTAAAAAAAAATGCAAAAGTTTTGCCCTGGAAACCGATAAATAAGTGTAAGTTCAAGTACTAAAACAAATAACTAAAACTGAAAAAAAAAAAAAAAAATAAAATACTAATACTAAAAAAAATGAAAACAGAAATAATACAAATAAAGGCTAAATCAAAATATTAATAAATACTATAATATTATAGAAATAACAATAAAAAAAATCACCTACACTGAGCAGTTTCAGTTTCCCGGATGAGCAAATATACAGTGAATGACAGCAAATATTAGGAAATACCTGACCACAATTGACCAATCAAAATCAAGTATTCCACAGAGCTGCGTAATATATAAAGTATAAGTCACTCTGTCAAATGTATAATGTAATGTATCATGTGAGGTCCCTTCATGACCGATGCATGTTCACATGTAGAATAAAATAGCTTTTTTTTTGTAAAAGACTGATATGTCTTTTCATATAATTTATATTTTATAATCTCTATAATTATATTTCTTGCTTTTTTTAATTAGCAAAATATTACCAAGTACACCTTTAGGAAACATTAGCATTGTACCACCACAAATCTTTTTATATTCAAAAATTCAATTTTATATTCAGGTATGTGCTCATTCAACGTACCTGCACTATGCCAAGGACCACTTCAGCTTATAAAAGCGACAATAACATATCTGAACAGTCCAGAAGTGCGGTCATCTCAAAGAAAAACAGATACCGTTAGTCAAACCAAAAGTACCTATCAATGTATCTATAGTATCTTGCAAACAAAACCATATGTGCTCAAAGGAGGCAATCCTGCAAAGATTGATTCTCAGCGAGAGTCCGATCGCTGACAGCACAGCACACGCCACGTTCACGCAAGACAAACACTGGCAGAGCGTGAACAGAAAGAAGAGGTTTCTGTTGTTCTATCCGTGTTACAGAGCTGTCATCACACACAAGTGAGCTTTAACTGTTTATTCCTCAATAGCACTGATTAGCAAAGGTACGGGGAACTTCTTTATATTCCGCGACAGTCGCGAGGACATGCTGTCAAAGGGACGAGCACAGTGATGTTGCTATGGGAACTAGAGTTTGTCCTTTATTGATTTTTAAGCAATTAAGAGTTAAACGAACTAAAATGACTGAGACTAACGTTAGCTGCTAGCAGTCTTGACGCTCAACTCAAAGGCACTGCACTGTCGACATGTTAGCACTGCAACTAAATGAGCAAAAAGACGCAAAGAAGCAGTATTTACTCACCTTTGCGACATTCAAGCACGCTGTTCCTCAGGCCCTTCAAAAGTTAAAAGGCAACGTTAACAGCCTTGATCTCTCAGCTTGCACTTCGCTTGAGAGAGAGACGGTGGCTCCACTGGCAGTCAAGCACCCACACTCAGCCCGCTACGGCGCTGCAGCGAGAAAACATATGCCACAAATATCGCGATATCACAACGCTCCTGACGGCGCTGGACTGACCAATCATACTCGAGACACGTCGTCCAATAAGGAAGCGGAGGGCGAGACATCCCCGACACTATTGGTCAGTTCACTGAGATTGACATCCAGGAGAGCTCAATCATGCAGTTTGTTTACAGGAGGATAGTACTGAAGTTTTGGCAAACCAAACATAGGAAAACCGATATGCACACGTTTCAGAAAATATGAGCAAATCTGCAGACTTTACAGTCATGTATACCAAACCAGAGTGCATTGCTTTGACTGAAAAATAAGAGGTTGTGCTCCTTGTAAAACCTGATATATGAATAATAGTCTTAAAGGTCCCATATTTTTCACCTTTCTGGAGTTTTATTTTAGGTTTTGATGTCCTTAAGAATATATGTTTGCGGTATAAGTACCAAAAACCATCTCAATATATTTTTACAGCTCATTTCTCAGGAGCTCTGCTGAGAACAGGTCGATTTTGGCCTGACTAATTAATATTCATGAGCCTCTCTTCTGATTGGTCTGTTGTGTTCTGCGTGACGCACGGCCAGGCCAACCACAGGTAACTAGGGTCAGCCGACGTCACAGCGCTAGCTGGAGGCAGAAGCCAGGAAATTTCAGTTTTGACAATATGGGACCTTTAAGAATCTCTCTCAGAGACCCAAACTGAGCAAAAATACGCAGTTTGGTGGAGTCGGTGTTATTTACATGGCCAAAAAGTAAGATGACACACTGATGGTTATGTAAGTCAAAAAGATTTTTATAACAGCAAACAGACTACATATATAAAGTTTTCGCTGTATATCTCCTAATAATATGCCTGGTAAGATGATATCCATGAAAAATCCATGGTTTTATTATTAAAGTTCTGTAGTTTTAACTGGGGCCAAAACATGCAATGCAATACAATGATGATTGAGAGATAAAGCACGAAGTACAAATAAAGCCTTATGTATCATATGTTATATATTTTAACATGTATTTAAAACAAAAACATGTATGGGTAATCAATAAGTTGCTTCAGTCCAGTAAATGTGTATATTGAAATATTACAAACAATATAAAAGTTATTCTTGTATTTACATTATAAAAATCATTGAAGATTTCACAGCAACAATCTAAAGATGGACATTATTAGAATTATACTAAAAGGCATTTTACTTACTAAAAAACTATGAATTATCAGTCAAAGGGCAGAAAGCATGTATTAGATTGTGCACAGGTTTTTCAGGTAAGTTTTGATCATATTGATCATTTAAAGGCCTTAGAAATTCACTTATTTAAGAGAAAAATAATTTAAAAAATAAGAGCATAAAATAGAAAGAGAAGGAAGGGGAATAAACAGATAAGTATAATGTGTAAGTAGGCTAACGGAAGAAAAAAACATGTTGAAATCAGCTTCAGTCAGTCAACTTTAAATTTAATGAACTTCAGCAACGTTATAGGTGACAAATTAGTTTAGCAAATTAGGTAGGGGACATATTTGAAGCTATGTGTATCTGTGTGTGTTCTGCCTGGTTAAAGCTCTTGGTACTAATAGTACACGCTATTGTGTATATACTATGACAATATTTGTTACTTTTTAGGAATATTTCAGGTTCAAGACAACATTCTACAAATCAATGGCATTTAATAATGATCATTGTTCCCTAAATGCTGTTGACAGAGAATGGTACTAAACACTTAAAAAATAAATAAATAAGCTTTTAAGCGCATTTAACATCTACAAGTGAATGTAAGTTTCCATGCTTCAAATCAGCATTTGTTTTTTGTTTTTAATCTGCTGCCTCTGAGAATAGTTTGACCCAACAGACCCATTATTAGAGACACTGACGTCTCTTTTTTAGAACATGTGCATGTGGTGCACAGATTAACACAATGAGTCAGTTTGCAGAGTGAAGGAGCATGACAATGATAATGTACACTGCCACTGTACTGCATCACTACCCACGATCCATCTGGAAGCAATCCTAATGACCAGCCCCATGACCCTCATGAGTTCCCCAGCAAAAACATGTCAAGCTGCGCCAACAGTCACAAAATACTTGTGATTATGCACCCACACACTGTTCCAGTACACAGTGCTGTGATGTTGAATTAACTACCCCCTTTTAAAATATGCTAAAGCTAAGAAACAAAAGCCTTTAGAACAACTTTAAAAGCCTAATCTTTTATCTTGACAGCTCTCTCAGGGAAGTGTGGGAGTCTTTTTAGTCTTTTTATATCTGTGTTCTGTTGTTTTAGTTAGACATGACATGTCATCCTAGCTACTACAAATAAATGCCCCGAGCTATTGTTCTGCTTTGTCATTTTATTGACATAAAATAATATTTAACTTTTATAATAATATAAATACTTATTTATTTACTTACTTAACTTCTGTTTTATGAAATATATTTACAAAGATTGTTTTCTAGTCAATGGCTTCTTTACCTGTCAGACTCTAACCACAGCTGCAAATTAGAATGCATATTCTGAAATTTGGCATAATGTCTATTTCTCTCTGTCATTTTGCTGAAACCAAAAAACAAACCTGAAGAAAAGGCAGTCTTGGGTCTGGGAAATGGTCCATTCAGTTCTTGAGTCACCATAGTCAGAGTAATCCTTAGGGACTGCAGTTTCTTTGCTCATCCACAGCTGCAGAAGAATTACAAGTGAGAGGAAAAAGGCAGTTTGGAAATGCTCAACACAAAGATGGCTGATGTTATCTCACTGTGTGTGTGTGTGTGTGTGTGTGTGTGTGTGTGTGTGTGTGTGTGTGTGTGTGCTGGCCTGAGCCACCGAGAGGAAAAGAGGGCATTGTTCCTGAGGTATTTGTTGTTTCAGTAATTCAACAGAGAAAACTGAATGACAGACATAAGGTAGACCCTGGATATTTATAGTCCGCTGCAGCTTCTCATTTTTTCTCAGACAGTGATGATGCCTCTTTTGATGCTCCAGTGTCCTTTTGTGATTATCACCTTAATGGAAAACACTCAGCTTAGACAATGAGAGAGTTGTGGATAGAAATTATTGAAGGCAATAAATCCAATAACATTCAAAAACATCTAGAAGAAAATATGAGTCATTTCCAGAAGATTGTAGATTTTAAAACTGTAGTTCTCTCAAAGGAATAGTTGACCCAAAATGAAAATTGGGTTATTGTTTACACACCCACACATCATTTCAAACCTGTATAATTTTCTTCCTATATTTTGATGAACGTTGGTAACCAAACAGTTACCATTGGCTTCCATTGTATTAAAAACACACACACACACACACACACACACACACACACACACACACACAGAGACATTTATCAAAATTTCTCAAAGTTCTCTTTTATGTTCCACAGAAACCAAAAAAGTCATACAGGTTTTGAGCGAAATGAGGGTTAATGACGGAATTTTCATTTTCCTTTAAATACAATTTAAATATTGCTATTTAAATGTAATATTAAGACTATCAATCCAATTTAAAAAAGAAAGAAAAGAAAAAAATATCTATTAAAATAGGGGATTTTGGCAAAACCAATCTAGGTGCTTATTTTTAATAAAATAATAATAATAATAATAATTCATTTTTTTCCTGAAGAGAAAGAATGTTCATTTTAAACATATATACCTGCTATATCTAAATTTAATTTAGACTATTTTTAGGAGCATACAATCATATAGATGGCCTCAAAACTACTAAAAGCTAACAAAACTTTATTTTGATTTAAAGGTGCCATAGAATGGAAAACTGTATTTACCTTGGCATAGTTGAATAATAACAGTTCTGTACATGGAAATGACATACCGTGAGCCTCAAACACCATTGTTTCCTCCTTCTTATGTAAATCTTGTGCATTCAAAAGACCACTGAAAAATAGGCGACTCAGAACATAACACCGACTGTGACGTTACAGTCGGGATCACTAATAGTTACGCCCCCAACATTTGCATATACCCGCCCATGTTCTAGGCCAGCCGGACCTGCACAGCCAAATCATCAGAAGTTCTGCAAGTGTTTTGAAGAAACAAGCGAGGACAACAGCGAAAATGGCAGATCATGGAAATAAATGTTATGTTACAGGCTGTGCAGGGGATGTGAAGTGCAGGGATGGGTTGGTGTCTGTATTCAGAAAGGCACGGAAAGCAAATAACGCGCGTTCTAATAAAATAATGCTAGCCACACTAAAGGGACATAGCTGCTTGCTAGCAGTAGCCTGTTACATTACAGTACACAAGATTTCACTTACCACATAAACAGAGTAAGGAGAGATGATGACTAAGGATGATGGCGAATGATTTACAGATCCTGAGCACCACTAACAAGCATCTGATCTTGTAAAATGTGTGGTAAGTACTGCCGCTGTAGTTTACACAGAGCATGTGCGATCGCAAATCGCGAAAGTGAAAGTAAAACGCGATCGTGCATTCGCAAGCAGTTTCAATGCCCCGCATATTAATAGCAGCTCCCTGATGTCCGCAGTTTATATACAGTATAATTACCCAACAATATAACTGCGAGAGATAGTATTGAAATATATATTTTCCCTGTGTTTCCTTCCTGCTGTGTGAGCTACTGAAATGAGCCGCACTGTGAAACAGCCAATCAGAGCAGAGCTGAGTGGAAATTATTTGCCCTTACCTAAGCCACATACCTTCTATGTAGATATCAGAGAACAATTAATAATATTGTATCAATGGATTCTATGGCACCTTTAATCATTAATCTCATTTTTGTTAATCACAAAATTAATCACATTATTTTGTTTTCTTTCAGAATACATTTGTGGCTCGGCACATTAGATCCATGCTTTCAGACATTTCAGACAATAGCCACAGCTGGGTTTCAGTTAGTTTGGTACATCCTGTTGGTCTGCAGAGAGAGTGAGGGGGGCTGACAGCTGATTGATTTCAGGGTTGCTGTGTGTGCTTGCTGCAATCCTTTGTTGTCTTTTATTGTCGTTGACCTCCAAGCATATAAAAGATTCATGCAGACTGCTTACTGTGTTTGTTAATGTACTTCAACGCGCTGCATCACCCAGTCAGAGAGCATCAGCACCCCATAAATATTTACTACGCCTGGCCGCTTCTTCCTTTTGCTTTCCTCTTCTCTGTATTTCTTTGCTTATTGGTGTCACACTGTTCTTGAAATCTTGCCACCACGAGGAGGCCAAAGTGACACTGGCTGACAACATGACAATCTGAGAGAATGTAATGATGACAGAATGGAAAAGAATGTTTATTTTTAGTAATTGATGGGTATTTCTCATAAGTAGGTCAGAGGTATATTGATCATTTGTCAATGAGAAAGAAATAAGCATAGACATATATGTGCTTACACACACACACACTGTTTGCAAAAATCCTAAAAGAAAAGCGAGCAGGTAAAACAGCATGAGACATGCTTGCTGAACTTTAGGCAGCCTGTCACATCTGCTTAAACAAGACTGACAACAGCAACAACAGACCAAACTCTTATGCCAATGTTCTCTTTGTCATCAAAATCATTATCTAGTGTTACTGAAACACTTTATTCAGCGTATGTTGAGAGACATTCAAACGTGTGCACAATATTGTTACATCAAAGTTTCATCTTAAATATACATATTTTCTACCAATAAACAACTGCCCTATACCAAAATTATACATTTAGCATTGCATGTGCAATTTTATATGTATGAATTTCCATATAATTTCCATTTTTAATCTCTATAATGAAAATACAGCTAATTTTACAGTAAATTATCATTAAAATTATGTTTTGTCATTTTTCTGCAAGTAAAAATGTGAGCCGCTTATTTACAGTGAGAAACAGTAAAATGACTTCCCAGAAACCCCTGCATGAGGTATCTGTTTTTTATTTTAAGTATTTTTGTTCCTTCTTATTTTTGATATTTTGTCTTACATTTTTTGTTATTTAGCTCATATTATTTTTGCATGATTTTAGTGTCATGTATGTTACCCTGACACTACCTTGTCTTTGTGTGTATGACCCTCGATGGCTTATTTTACCACCTGTATCTGCACATTTAGGGCACATGCAAGTTTTGGAAGTTCAAGTAGACTGGTATATTACATTATGCTACCTAAACATAAGTTTATAAGTTGTAAAATATACAGGCAAAACGGAATGCAAATGCGAATCATTGTCACTGTATTTTCATGGTGAATTCTTAGCAACCACAGCTGCCAGATTTTTTATAGGCTACATTTAACAGGTTTTTTTTTCTGTAAATATAAACATTTGATCCATTCAAACCCCTGCTATAAAACAGAAATGCATCCAAGACTTTGTAGATCTTTTTCTGCTGTTCACCCTATAGAGTCTCTTTCTGAATGTCAGTGTGTGTGGTTGTTTATATCTGCTGCATGTTAAGCAGATGTGCATTCCTCTCCTGGGTGACACACAGAAAGACTGCGAAAGAAAGAGAAAAAGAGAGGTTTGGGGGCGAGGGAGCTTGTGAAGACGGTGGCAACGGGACCACTACTGCTCATCAAATTTCCATCTTTCTCTCATCCTTCCCCCTACATGGCATGCACATACTCATTAAATCCTCTCCTCAGTGTCTATACGTCTGACAGCTCGGCTGTCTATCTATTCTGCTTTCTTACTCTTATCATGAGTCCCCCCCCCAAGCCTTTTCACAAATCCATCTTTTATATTGCTCAGTCTGCCATCAGCTCTCTGTTACTTTCTTCTTTCTGTGTCTCAAAGACTCATAGAGCAGGGTACGATGAGTGACAAATTCTCTGCTTTTATATACAACATGCAAATGCACTCTAGTTTGTCGCTAACGTGTCACTGAACCTCTAAGGTGGGTGGAACAAACAGCTGTGTATGTCTCCAGCCTACAGAAGAGTATTAATTTAACATTTTATGGACAGGACAAATGTATTGATTTACAATATTACTTGTGGAATATT